CTGGGGTCAATGAAGATCGTGTAATGAAGGTCTATGGGGTTAATGAAGATCGTGTACTGAAAGTCTATGGAGTCAATGAAGATCGTGTAATGAAGGTCTATGGAGTCAATGAAGATCGTGTACTGAAAGTCTATGGAGTCAATGAAGATCGTGTAATGAAGGTCTGTGGAGTCAATGAAGATCGTGTAATGAAAGCCTGGGGTCAATGAAGATCGTGTAATGAAGGTCTATGGAGTCAATGAAGATCGTGTAATGAAGGTCTATGGGGTCAATGAAGATCGTGTAATGAAGGTCTACGGAGTCAATGAAGATCGTGTAATGAAAGTCTATGGAGTCAATGAATATCGTGTAATGAAAGTATATGGAGTCAATGAATATCGTGTAATGAAGGTCTATGGGGTCAATGAAGGTCTTTGGGGTCAAGGAAGATCGTGTAATGAAGGTCTATGGGGTCAAGGAAGATCGTGTAATGAAGGTCTATGGGGTCAATGAAGGTCTATGGGGTCAATGAAGATCGTGTAATGAAGGTCTACGCGGTCAATGAAGATCGTGTACTGAAGGTCTACGGAGTCAATGAAGATCGTGTACTGAAGGTCTATGGGGTCAATGAAGATCGTGTAATGAAGGTCTATGGGGTCAAGGAAGATCGTGTAATGAAGGTCTATGGGGTCAATGAAGATCGTGTAATGAAGGTCTATGGAGTCAATGAAGATCGTGTAATGAAGGTCTATGGAGTCAATGAAGATCGTGTACTGAAGGTCTATGGGGTCAATGAAGATCGTGTAATGAAGGTCTATGGAGTCAATGAAGATCGTGTAATGAAAGCTTGGGGTCAATGAAGATCGTGTAATGAAGGTCTATGGGGTCAATGAAGATCGTGTAATGAAAGTCTGTAGGGTCAATGAAGATCGTGTACTGAAGGTCTATGGGGTCAATGAAGATCGTGTAATGAAGGTCTATGGAGTCAATGAAGATCGTGTAATGAAGGTCTATGGGGTCAATGAAGATCGTGTACTGAAAGTCTATGGAGTCAATGAAGATCGTGTAATGAAGGTCTATGGGGTCAAGGAAGATCGTGTAATGAAGGTCTATGGAGTCAAGGAAGATCGTGTACTGAAGGTCTATGGGGTCAATGAAGATCGTGTAATGAAAGTCTATGGGGTCAAGGAAGATCGTGTAATGAAAGTCTGTGGGGTCAATGAAGATCGTGTACTGAAGGTCTATGGGGTCAATGAAGATCGTGTAATGAAGGTCTATGGAGTCAATGAAGATCGTGTAATGAAAGCCTGGGGTCAATGAAGATCGTGTAATGAAGGTCTATGGGGTCAATGAAGATCGTGTAATGAAAGTCTATGGGGTCAATGAAGATCGTGTAATGAAGGTCTATGGGGTCAAGGAAGATCGTGTAATGAAGGTCTATGGGGTCAAGGAAGATCGTGTAATGAAGGTCTGTGGGGTCAATGGAGATCGTTTACATTAGATGTCTGATAGTAATAGTGACCGGTTTTGCTTTGTCAATTGCAACCATTATGGTACTTCTGTGAAATGAAATAGTGATAGTGCAGTACTCAGTTAATTGAATTGTGAAAAATACTTTTATAATACGGTTTAATTCACCCAGTTGACCCAGTTGCATCGAGAAATTTTAGTTTTTTCAGCTACCCTTGCGGCCAAAGTCACGAACAGAGCATAACGGGATTGCATGGTCTTTAAATATCCTCTCTGGTGAAGACACATAAACCGGCCCATGTATAGCATTCAAAGATGCTATTGCTACCTCAATAAAATCCTGTTGAGAAAATAGTTTAAAGTGTGTTTCTCTTTGAACAGTTTCCACTGTTTCAGTCAACCATGATAACTCTGTGTACCCCGTCCATGCTTCACATTCCGCTTCACCGACATGGTCAATGTCAATGATTGTATTTGTTTGGTTACCTGCAGTTCAAGGAGATCATTTGTCCCGTGACCAGCTCTGGTTTTGAGATGAAGATCTAGTGGTTCCATCGTCCACAGGTACAGGGTCAATGAGGGGTTCAGGAAGTCAGCAGTTCATTGCGAACATGTGCTCCATATGGACACCACAGACAATGTAAATATATCTTGTTTATTCCGGCACGCTAAGGCGTTTTATCTGACTTATTGCCCTCTTTTCCACAGATGACCAAACCTTTTATGTGAATTCCCACCATAAACTCTCTACAGAGATCAGTGGTAGCTGGTTGGTTAACATGAAGTCTGTGTAAGCGTCACCAGCGTCCTTACATATGTCATCTTGAATGTTAGCTGTGCTAGGTTCACCAGACATTACTGGGCTTTAAGATAACATCTGTAACATTTTCCATATATTATACTTCCCTCTGATATACCGACGTTAACAGCAGTCAGAATTATATAAATGTCGTATCTGAGATCGGGACCCTTGAGGTAAATCTTTCAACCTAGGTTTGCAATCATGATCTGTGCACCCATCTACCATGGATAATCAGTAGTAGTTAACACAGAATACCTGACATATAGTGAGATATCAGTTCACCAGACATTACTGGGCTTTAAGATAACATCTGTAACATTTTCCATATATTATACTTCCCTCTGATATACCGACGTTCTCAGCAGTCAGAATTATATAAATGTCGTATCTGAGATCGGGACCCTTGAGGTAAATCTTTCAACCTAGGTTTGCAATCATGATCTGTGCACCCATCTACCATGGATAATCAGTAGTAGTTAACACAGAATACCTGACATATAGTGAGATATCAATTACAGGATAAATTACAGATTACTTTTGAATAATGCTTAGTTACTACAATACATATCTTCAAATCATGTATAATGTAATTACCATTGAAAACGATGACAATCAAATTTTCATGATATATGTTGTGCATTAAACATGCTTGTATTTCACCCCTTTTTGTATAACCTTGAATTGATTCCGTAGACAGAAAATACCAATATGTTAACAGAATCATAATCCAAACTCAAATTTAATAAAATCTGGATCAGAATATGAACCAAAGAAAGATTTACACGAAGACGCCTGTCCAATGATAATAAGAACATGTGTACCGGAAGAGTAAGCGTTTTCTGCTCCGTCGACGACACTTGCAAATATCGGTCAATCAAAGTAAGTAATACCATATTGCACAAAGAAATAGAATATTTCTCGATAAGATCACTTTGACAACTGTATACCTTTACAATAATGTTCACCAACCTTGAAATTGAAGTGATCTTTTGAAATCTTGTTTTACGACTTTTTGATAATGGGAGCAGTCCCTTGGAAATCAACTACAACATGTAATCATCATAGATTGGGGACGCAGGTTTGTTGCTATCCAGAAATGGAAAATTTACGATAGGGAAAATGAGATCATCACGTTATCATACAGCTTGGTCAAAAGCTGTCCATTTTGAGTTTCATTGTAGAAAAAGATCGACATAAGTTGCTGATATAGAAGAGATTCGTGTAATTTATTTTCAATTCTGTTGGGTATATACGATGGACGTGTTCAATTTAGCTAGAGGCCCATGGGCCTTGACGGTCATCTGACTACAAAAACTTTCAGAAGGGAGAAGGGTTATTTTTTTCTACTTTGGGAGAAAGAAGATGTTTTCCATGATGCAGATGGTAGTTCTGGTGATAGTACAGTAAAGGTTGAGCTCAATCCAACTGTGAAACCTGAGAAGTTTGAAATAGGTGTTGCATAGGAAAACCATGATTGCGCAATCATGTTACAAAATGGCTTCCCTGGCTGCCGTATCGAAGTTTTGACAAGGTCGAAAAATAACAACACTTTGTTGGCTATCTTTCCTTAACATTCCCACCAATGTTTATCTCAATGGCGCTAGTGGAACTGGAGAAGAAGTTTAAAATATGTTTTTCAAGACTGCGGCCAAAGATGGACGAAGCACGATGGCTATACTCATCATGACCCTTTGGGTCAGATGTCCTAAAAATATTGTTATTTAAAAACAAGACGTCAACCAAGGTGTTGTCAGCCAAAAACTTGATAATTTATGATTTCGTTCTCCGCATAAAAATGTTCACAGCCATATACTTGCATTGTTGTTCACCTTTCTTGTGTTATTGAGAATTCAGATATCACAATATGACTTATCAAAATAAGACATCTTGTACACCATACACTGTCATAATTCATTTTAAAACTACATTTAGCCGCGACAGTTATCTGTGATCATTTATACAGTTATGTTGTATTTTTATGTATCTACCAATGGCAAAAACACAGAAGAAATCAAATGTTGACTACAAGGTTTTATTTCCTTTCTTACCACTGGTCACATGACAACATGATGAGGTCCATGAAGACTACAGGAAAGGTTCATCCATCAGGATCTCATTGGTCTTGGACGAAATCGCATATGTATAACTTTTCAATATAAGATTCCCAATGGACCTGCTTCACTCACCTGAATAATTTAGATATTCAGCCATTTGATAAAGAATTTCAAATATGACAAACAATTTCTGATAAAGATTCCCTTTTGGGTCTCCCTCTCCTGGTAAAACAGAGGTCTGGACTCACTATTCATAAAAATTGTTTCAGACCAAACTTGGACAATATCCTTGCATAAAAGAAGTACTTTTAAGAACTTGCATTTCCCAATGTGGTCCCCCCTCCCCCCACCCCAAGGTGGCTGGGATGCAGTGTTTGTACAATTCCATTTCCTAAAGAATACTACAGATCATATATGGGCTATATCCATTTTTCTTATACTATGAGTAAGATTTTTAAAAAATTGAAAAAATTCCCCTTTTTGGTCCCATCCCTAAGGCCCTTGGGAACGGAACAAATCCACACAAACTTCTCATCAAATTTGGGTAATATCTTATTCCTAATGGAGGAACAGAATTTTAATGAATATGCTCTATTTCCCCAATTGGGTATGGATGAAGAGTATTAAACAAATTGATGAAAATTTAAGGAAGAAATGTGAACTGGAAACAAAATATAAGACAACTTCACTTTGACATGGGAGGTGGGTGTGGGAGTGGGGTGTGGGAGTGGGGTGTGGGAGGTGGGTGTGGGAGTGGGGTGTGGGAGGTGGGTGTGGGAGTGGGGTGTGGGAGGTGGGTGTGGGAGTGGAGTGTGGGAGTGGGGTGTGGGAGGTGGGTGTGGGAGTGGGGTGTGGGAGGTGGGTGTGGGAGTGTGGTGTGGGAGGTGGGTGTGGGAGTGGGGTGTGGGAGGTGGGTGTGGGAGTGGGGTGTGGGAGTGGGGTGTGGGAGGTGGGTGTGGGAGTGGGGTGTGGGAGGTGGGTGTGGGAGTGGGGTGTGGGAGGTGGGTGTGGGAGTGGGGTGTGGGAGTGGGGTGTGGGAGTGGGGTGTGGGAGGTGGGTGTGGGAGGTGGGTGTGGGAGGTGGGTGTGGGAGTGGGGTGTGGGAGTTGGGTGTGGGAGGTGGGTGTGGGAGGTGGGTGTGGGAGGTCCAGTGGGAGTGGGGTGTGGGAGTGGAGTGTGGGAGTGGGGTGTGGGTGTGGGAGGTGGGTGTGGGAGTGGAGTGTGGGAGTGGGGTGTGGGAGTGGGGTGTGGGAGGTGGGTGTGGGAGTGGGGTGTGGGAGGTGGGTGTGGGAGTGGGTTGTGGGAGGTGGGTGTGGGAGTGGGGTGTGGGAGGTGGGTGTGGGAGTGGCGTGTGGGAGGTGGGTGTGGGAGGTGGGTGTGGGAGGTGGGTGTGGGAGTGAGGTGTGGGAGTGGGGTGTGGGAGGTGGGTGTGGGAGTGGGGTGTGGAAGGTGGGTGTGGGAGTGGAGTGTGGGAGTGGGGTGTGGGAGTGGGGTGTGGGAGGTGGGTGTGGGAGGTGGGTGTGGGAGGTGGGTGTGGGAGTGGGGTGTGGGAGTGGGGTGTGGGGGTGGGGGAGTGGGGTGTGGGAGGTGGGTGTGGGAGGTGGATGTGGGAGTGGAGTGTGGGAGTGGGGTGTGGGAGTGTGGTGTGGGAGTGGGAGGTGGGTGTGGGAGGTGGGTGTGGGAGTGGGGTGTGGGAGTGGGGTGTGGGAGTGTGGTGTGGGAGGTGGGTGTGGGAGGTGGGTGTGGGAGTGGGGTGTGGGAGTGGGGTGTGGGAGTGGAGTGTGGGAGTGGGGTGTGGGAGGTGGGTGTGGGAGTGGGGTGTGGGAGGTGGGTGTGGGAGGTGGGTGTGGGAGTGGGGTGTGGGAGTGTGGTGTGGGTGTGGGAGGTGGGTGTGGGAGTAGGGTGTGGGTGTGGGTGTGGGAGTGGGGTGTGGGGTGTGGGAGTGGAGTGTGGGAGTGGGGTGTGGGAGGTGGGTGTGGGAGTGGGGTGTGGGAGGTGGGTGTGGGAGTGGGGTGTGGGAGGTGGGTGTGGGGTGTGGGAGTGGGGTGTGAGAGGTGGGTGTGGGAGTGGGGTGTGGGAGGTGGGTGTGGGAGTGGGTGTGGGAGTGAGGTGTGGGAGTGGGGTGTGGGAGGTGGGTGTGGGAGTGGAGTGTGGGAGTGGAGTGTGGGAGTGGGGTGTGGGAGTGGGGTGTGGGAGGTGGGTGTGGGAGGTGGGTGTGGGAGTGTGGTGTGGGAGGTGGGTGTGGGAGTGGGGTGTGGGAGGTGGGTGTGGGAGTGGGGTGTGGGAGTGGGGTATATGACATTCAGGAGTTCAAGAAGTACCAAACTGCTAAGACCTATGATATCTTCCATGAAATCAGGAATATTCTAATTTGACTAATTCATTGTTGACCCACTCATATTGGAAGTCATCTCCCTGAACAACAAAACTGTCAAATACAGTAACCTTTGGCACGTCATTGTAAGTCTTCTCAGTTCATAGTTACCTAATTTAAAGGACATTCATCCATGCTTTCTCCTGTCAAATGCAATGACCTTTGACCTTATGATTGTTGAGAAGATGTGATGTTTTATATGCGTGGAGCACAGACAACAACAGATAAATGATTCACACCTGTAGTTTAGTTTATTGTTGCTCTACATCCTTTTAACAGTCATTTAAGGACCTGCCAGACTTGGGTAGAGGAGGAAAGCCAGAGATCCTGCAGAAAAACACTGACATCTGGTCATTACATGGCCACTGCCCCATGTACTTTGGCTCCAAAATAGAACTTGTGACAAAATGATTTATTTCATATTCACAGAGTGTGACTTTCTCCTGGAAATCTAGATGAGAGATCAAGTCAACAACACATTAGGATGTATAACTGCAATTTTATTGCAAATACAATCAAGCATAAAGGACAGGACTATTACAGCTTTGACAAAAAAACAAAGAGTTCCTAGAAAGGGCAATTACTCTAAATGAAATAATGGCTCTTACAATGTGCTTACAAGACAATGGCGCACCATCATATATACAAGGAATTGAAGAAAGTGACAGAGGGTCAGTTAGGGTTGTTATATGTTTGTAGGAGGGTATATATATTAATACTTCCTTTCACATATTCTTTATCTTTTGAAATCATTTCATTAAAACACATTTCTTTAAACCACGAAAGAAAATAAATATCAGTTTTAGCATGTAATGAAATAAGATACTAAATTCAAATAAGAAAAGTTAAAATTGTAAGATTTTAACTGAACTGTCCCTACTTCCAAATTTATATTAATTACATATTTTGAGAGGCTCATCATAAAAATGGTATGAAATTTTTCAGGAGATAACAAAGAAAAATGGAATTGAGGATTTTTCAGGACATCTTAAGTCTATGTAATATGAGTGTTGATGAAACCAAATCATTTGTGAATTCCATGTACAAGCTCATTCTTGACCTATGAAGTCACCTTAGCAGAATGACTAACCATGGTTAAAGATATAACTGTGTGTGTCCTTAGAGTGTTATATTCAAATTACAGTTTCAAATATTGACAAAAAAGCAATTCAATTTGCAAACAAAATGCATTTTTAATTCCACTGTAATTTGGTTATCACCCTTTGATGTTTTGGTTTGACACTCTAACTGATAAAAAGAAGTAAATTAAATGTTGGCACCATGGCCTTCATAAACATAACTCAGGTATCAATAACCTCATTTACAAGAAGAAAAATTCAAAAACTAATTTCAATTATCAAAATTTCATTTTTTATATAATATTTATTTGTATAACAAAAATCTGTGTTTGCAAATATGTTTACTTTTAATGTTATTCATAAATACATGTTTGATATTCTAAGCCAGAAATAAATATGATGGTTTTCTTTTTAGCCATTCAAACTGAACATTTACCTCTTAAAAATAAGTTTGAATATTTTAAGGACTTAAAAAAAAATGCAGATCATCATATTATTACAAAGACAATGAAATTTTAAAGATTCCACTGAAACACACCAAGTTCATATTTTCACAATTTTTATATCAATTTTTAGATATATCAAAAAACATATGAATGAATATAATCCAACAAACAATGATGCACTCAAGCATTATTGACGGAAATCATACCTTCTTTATGAAATCACAAAGTCAAAAATTTGAAATAATGTAATTAAAATGACAATTAAGTAATGACATGTTTAAAGCTAGGTCTTCGACAATTTAAAAAAAATGTCAGAAAAATCCAGAAGATTGTTATGCACTGACTTGTACCACCAAACATTCTTTTATTACAATTTAATTGTAAAAATTGAAGCTTTTTACTTAAAAGACACTGTACATCACCTTGACATTATGTCAATCAGTTTTGCTCCTTTAAAGGAATTCACAAAAGACAATAATCACTATTTTGAAATAACCCTATAAATAATTCATTTACAATCAACAAACAAAACATTGTAATAAACAGCTAGAAGGAAAAAAAAAAAAAAATCTGACCATTTACACCCTCCCCCCATCAACCCCCTCCCCCCTCTCAAAAAAACAAAAAAAATATGGAATGTACCATTTGTTTCCATTTTACTTATAAGATTTGATGATGATTTCATACCAACCCATGAAAGACCGTTTTCTGACTGCCATATCAAAAACATCATCACATCATCCTGTCTTAAAGACATGTGATGCTAGAGTTACCTTAAAGTCTTGTTTCTTGATCACTATAATACAAAATATGTTTCTAGCGCCAGTTGTCTACCAATTACAAAATGACAGATAAGTCAGGTATCAATGTATACAACAGGTTTGATTTAAACTTGCTTATTAATACCTAAAGAGAAAAATTTCAAACATTTAACCAAATTTTTCCCTTCTCGAGGTCAGGTGTCAGTAAAGTCAAGTGTCAGTAAAGTCAGGTTTTACTGTATATCACAGGATGTCATTAAAATCAGGTGTCAGCAAGGTCGGGTGACAGTAAGGTCAGGTTTTACTGTATATCACAGGATGTCATTAAAATCAGGTGTCAGTAAAGTCAGGTTTTACTGTATATTACAGGATGTCATTTAAGTCAGGTGTCAGCAAGGTCGGGTGACAGTAAGGTCAGGTTTTACTGTATATCACAGGATGTCATTAAAATCAGGTGTCAGTAAAGTCAGGTTTTACTGTATATTACAGGATGTCATTAAAGTCAGGCGTCAGCAAGGTCGGGTGACAGTAAGGTCAGGTTTTACTGTATATCACAGGATGTCATTAAAATCAGGTGTCAGTAAAGTCAGGTTTTACTGTATATTACAGGATGTCATTAAAGTCAGGTGTCAGAAAGGTAATGTTTTACTGTATCTTACAGGATGTCATTAAAGTCATGTGTCAGTATGGTCATGTTTTACTGTATATTACAGGATGTCATTAAAGTCATGTGTCAGTATGGTCATGTTTTACTGTATATTACAGGATGTCATTAAAGTCAGGTGTCAGTATGGTCATGTTTTACTGTATATTACAGGATGTCATTAAAGTCAGGTGTCAGTATGGTCATGTTTTACTGTATATTACAGGATGTCATTAAAGTCAGGTGTCAGAAAGGTCAGGTTATTCTGTATATTACAGGATGTCATGAAAGTAGGGTGTCAGAAAAGTCAGGTGTTACTGTATATCACAGGATGTCATTAAAATCAGGTGTAAGTAAAGTCAGGAGTCAGTAAAGTCAGGTGTCAGTAAAGTCAGGTTTTACTGTATATTACAGGATGTCATTAAAGTCAGGTGTCAGTAAAGTCAGGTTTTACTGTATATTACAGGATGTCATTAAAGTCAGGTGTCAGTAAGGTCAGGTTTTGCTGTATATTACAGGATGTCATTAAAGTCAGGTGTCAGTAAGGTCAGGTTTTACTGTATATTACAGGATGTCATTAAAGTCAGGTGTCAGTAAGGTCAGGTTTTGCTGTATATTACAGGATGTCATTAAAGTCAGGTGTCAGTAAGGTCAGGTTTTGCTGTATATTACAGGATATCATTAAAGTCAGGTGTCAGTAAAGTCAGGTTTTACTGTATATTTCAGGATGTCATTAAAGTCAAGTGTCAGTAAGGTCTGGTTTTACTGTATATTATAGGATGTCATTAAAATCAGGTGTCATTAAAGTCAGATATTTAATATATATTACAAGATATCATTAAAGTCACGTACAAGTTTAATCACTGCTAAGAGAGAAGAGTGAAAGAGCAGCTAGTTTGTCCACAAAAATCAATAAAAAAATTGCATGGCAATCAGATGTATGAAAGTCAAATTTTGGGTGATTCATACTCTGCACTCATTTCTGAGACAAGACATTACTGCCAGTCTGAGGATACAGCACATTGTATATTAAACAGCTGATAAAACAATGAAACAAATATACAGTGATGTAGGCAGCAGTGTAAATTATGCCCTATAGAATAAATACTATCGATTTTCAAGGGAAACAGATTTAAGGAATATTGCCCAACTTTTCATTCCTCAGCTGACATCTCCCTTGGCTAATATTTATTCTGATTATTCTTTTTGTTTCATTCAAAATGCAATATTGTTTGAAATAATGGATTTGAATTTCATCCCAGATCACAGATCATTTGAATGAAAAATTCCACTTTTTGATAAAGGAACTCTAAAATGCAATGAAAGATGTTAAACTCCTGACTGAAAAAGTCACTTCAGTAAGGGTTACCTCCCTTGGTTCAGTATGATAATATACAGTTCCAATAAAAACCAACAATACTGAAATTTTCAACAGTAATATGCTAATTTTACTATCAACCTTTCTCTCCTTCATCCAATATCTCTCTCGCTTTCTCTCTCATTTACTTCCCAACTATACAATAACTGGCTGACTTGTTGCAGATACATAAATTAAGCCAAGCATATAGATGTAATGAAAATGTCATTTTAAATGAAGAATTAAATACAGAACACAAAACATGACAGTTTACTTTTATATAACATTACGATACAAAAACGACAGAAATCTAGTTTGGCACTTAAATAATTTGCGTTCATACAAAAAGCACTGTGTTTATTACAGAAGGGCAACATCCATTGAAACTTTGCTAAGCATGCCTCCTACATTGCACAAACAATTCCTATTACACAGGCATCAATTCTATGAGACATTTTAATATTTGCTCAACGTAGCTATATGTATAACACAGACATTCCTATCCCTCCATTAATACAAGTATACACAATAATCATAATGATTCCAAGGCAAGTTGTCCTTCACTTCTAAATGAAGAGATGATGACAAATGGAATAACAGATGTGTTGGTGGAAACAGGAAATGGCACAGAAAAAAGGAAACATTATCATACATAAAACATAAACAAGAAAACATTGGAAAATGACTTATCAACAAGAGGCCTAGCAGCCTTGACTGTCACCTGAGATGAGAGATATTAAACATAAAGATTAAAGGGTAAGTAGCTTTCAAGTGTCAAGAAAAAGAAACTGTGACATTGACGGTACATGGTTATCAATACATACATACCATTAAAACTGTCATCTTGATTAATATTTCTTTTACATAGTTATTCCCAATAAGAAATAAACAACATTATGTTCAAAAATGCATCTTTTCTATGCAAATTATAGTAAAGTTAATCTAGGGAAAACGTCAGACCCATCCATGAAGAGCATTTGATTCTACAACACCTGGGAGTTAAAAGAAGACTTGAAATTTCAGTTAATTTGACTGTTTTTGCCCCAATCATTGAAATGGGCTCAGGGTTTTTTTTTGAGAAGAAGTAGAAAATGTTAAATTGTTAATGGATGCACGACGCCGGACAAAGGTGATCGCAGTAGGTCACCAAGAAACTTTGCCTCAAGTAAACTAAAAACTCATCATTATTTACCTATTTCAATATCTATTTTAAAAGAATTTGATATAACAAAAGAACAATACAATTTCTCAAATACAATTATTAAGTATCTCAGAGATAAGGTTTCTTGAATATCATTTTAACATCAAGATTGAAACTGTTGACAGTAATATGTGTTAAAACACATACATGTACCCACCCACACACTCACACCTACACACTCACAATAGACCAAACATGATGGACACATGTTGATTAAAACAAAAACTTCCTGTGTAATTTCTTAAGGATTTTAAAGGTGAAATTCTCATAGCTGGTGACGACTGACAATTTTATAATATTCTATATAAACGATAACCCATAGTAACATCAAACACAGAACGATGACAATATATCAACGATCAAACACGATCTCAGATCCCCTCTCCTACTGGCACAAATAACAAAATAACCAACTCCTGTCATAATTGCACAAATATAAAACAACAAATCACTTAAAACCAATTAAATATCAGCAATAATTAAATATAAACTGTAAATGAATGGGTTAATCAGTTTTTATCACTTCACATGCAACGTATAGTGATATATAGTTTTAATAAAGGTATTTCAGATTGGTCTGTTAAATACAAGGACCTCAACTTTTACAATCTGAAGTTGAAAAGCAATATAACATATATTACTTATCAAGTTAATAACCATCTATTTTGAGAAAACTCCTGAATCTGAGAAAGACTCAATTTTCATGCAATACATTTGTGTATTGCTTACCTGCTCAGCAGCATTTGAAGAGAATGTTTTTACTAATATCTTAAATTTCTTGGTTTTTTTTATAATTATTCCCAAACTTGTTACAAACTTGTTTCAGTAAATTCCAATAACACAGAATAGTTATTTTGAAGATTAAAATGGGGCAGACCCCAATGAGCATGAAAGTAGAACAAAGTCATTTACTTGAATAAGCTTTAAAAGTCCTTTATCCCAGGATGTACTGATCCATCTTAGCTCAACCTAGCATCTTGGTAATAGAGAAACTGTGTAAAAAGATGACAAACAATGAACATCTCCATAAAATTCTCACTAGTCCATCACAGAAGTGAGCTAAAACTGGGTCAGGGTTATAAACTTGGACAACCTTGTTATTAGTCTTTTCACCCAACAAACCTCAGAGATTTAAAATGGTGTTGAATATCAGTCATTTCTGGAAACCTCTGGGGTGCTTATGGCTTTTCTCATAGTAAAGAATGCCATTTAACATCACGTCTTTCCAAAAAACAAGGAAAATCATCATAAAGGAAAAGATCACAAGGAAATGACCCTGGTATATCATTCAAAACAAATGCTGGTTACATTTACAATCTTCAAGTCACATAATCTGAAGTACATCCCACCAATGCACATCTGCTTCCATTTCTTCCTCTCAAAAGCTAACATTCTCTTGTCCTTAAAAATCCATTTTCATTCTACTTTTTTTACAGAAATGTCATTTACAACCAGCCATCATTAAGTAGAATTCACCATTCAGATGATCCAGCAAAGAAATACTTTTTTTTTTAATACTAATTCACAAGATTCACCAGTAACTGTTTTAATTGCACATTAAGAAAAGTGATTAGATGTGTTTGAAAATCCACAATTGTATCAAATCCAGATACACTGCTAACGTCAAAAACAAATTCATGTTGAGATTACTTTTTTTTACAACTCACAATCCAGACTTCCCAACACATTCATTTTCCTGACTTTTTCACTGTCAATTTTCACTTCCACACACAGCACTAACAATTGTGATCTGCTGTCGCAAAAGAATTTGCATTCCTGTCCAGTAACACGAGTTCCTGTAGACTAGCACTGGACTTACACACCTTATTCTGTAGGATTTCTGGGTGTTCCATGAAATACTTTGTCATCAGTCTATCATCATACAGTGAAAACCTTCCATGTTTCAATGATAATGGTGTCTTTATCCGGCGTTTTATCTTCGCCTTTGGTTCAATCAGGGTAACGACATTACAATCGGCTTTCTTCGAGCTCTCCGTGAGGAGATTAAGATCTGAGCAAGTTTTTGATTCTCCCAAGTGTTTTTGAGAAGTGTAGTTATGTCCCTTTAAGGAAAGTGAGTCTGGTCTTTTAAATGTTTGAACTCTATCCTCCTTTCCGTCTTCTTCCTCCTCACCAAACCCTGTCTCACTCCATCGCTTTGATTTGTTTGTTTTTTGAGGGCTAAGATCAGAAGTACTTTTGGAATATGGTCCTTTACGAATTTTAACAATTGATTGGTGTGCACGCTGAGGAACCATTTCTAGTTTCGCAACTCCGATTTCTGCCATTCCAAGTCTACTTTCTAGCTGTGTACTATTTCGAGATGACCTCCCAGAATGAGTCTCGTCAGAATGAGAAATATTTAAGTTCAAAGGTCTGACAACAGGGTTTCCATTTCGCATTTGAACCTCAGTTGGTACAGCTTGATTTAGATTCACATTTGAGTGGTCAGTATGTCCATAACTTTTGCTGGAATTTGAAGAAAGTGAACTGGGTCGATTTGTATTTGACCTAGAAGATGAACTTGCACATACACTTGAATTATCAAAATTTCCATTGATATGCGACATGTTCTCCTTGCTGTTCCTTGCACTGTCTCTATCAGTCTCCTTTTTGTCAGAACTTCTTGTCACAATCTTTGACAACAAACTGAGTTGTCCGAGCTTACTCCCTAACTCCCTAGCACTCATTAATTTGCTCAGCTTACTCCTGTGGGGTTTAGGCTCTGAACCCCGACTTCCTCCAGGCTGGGGATTGGTACCTGGCAGGTTGGCAATCTTCGGCCTCACTGGATGATTGTCACCATGAACCTGATTCTGGACGTATGATATTGGATGTGAGCGATGATGATTCAATACGTCATTTTGAACAAGTGAAGTTTCCAAATTGTCACTGAAACCATCAAATGATGTGTCGTCGGTTGCTATATTAGATGGAGCATTTTGAGCAGTTTCCACAAGACGGTTATCGACCCCATACACAAGCTGATTACCAGATACAGCTAGTTCTTCATCGCTACGTTTATGTGTATTTCTCTCTACGGTTGGATTCCTGCCTTGGTGTGGACGCAGAACAGATTTATTTTTGTCCATTGCTACATTCATGAGTTTCTGTGGAGGAAGGGAAATCTCTCCTTCCGATGGTGATAATATGGTGTCCGTTGTTGATGAAGACATTCCCCAGTCTTGTCTCCATGACAGAGGGCGCTGGCTGACAACGTCACTACTGACGTAACTGTTTGGAGGTGACGACACAAGGAGGTGGGCAGTACTACTGTCTGACTGGGTGTTAGGAATCTGTTCCCTAAGTGTGGTTGTATTGACATGTCCATTAGCCAGGTGACACTGACCGTCCACCTTCAGGTCTGTAGTGTCTGTAGAAATCGGCTCAAACAGATTACTGGTAGTGGTGATGGTAGGTGTCATACCTAGAAAAGACAGACGATACCTTAATGAGAACTATCTCCCTTAAATTCTGTAACGTGTAGATTTTTTGATGTTTTTTAAAATTAATTGATATATTCAATTTTTTTACAAAATCTCCAATTCCCCTCCCCATCCCCCCTCCCCACAATTTCACAGATTTTGTCTTCTTATTGAAAACAAGCATATCTACAATGCTGTGGATATGTATGCACACTAACATACCTTTGTGTTTGGAATCTTGGGACCATAGGGTCATAAGGTCAGAGATACGCTCCTCCACACACATGGCTGTCAGTCTAGCCTCAGCATCGTGATCCCAACAGTCTTCAATAGTCTCTTTCAATGCCCTGATAGCCTACAATATTCAAATTCCAAATCAATATCTTAGTTACAATAACAGAGAAAAGGAGTGAAATAAAACAACATAGTTTAACCCGGTAGGTACTAAGTCCTACCAACTTGAGATAGAAATTCTGTCAAGCTTGTTTGGTAGAATGTCCAAGTAATTTGGATAACAGTATGCTCCACCATAAAATAGGTGAGACATGGAAATATCATTATAGTATGTTATTAGACTACATAGTAAGAAGAATAGTAGAATAATTAGTTGGAAACACTTCTTTATTCATACAAGTTCTTCAAAAAGGACTGCACATTATCCTTCTAGATGAAGGATTGGTCAAGTAAGTTATGATAAAGTCCTACCTGATTATAATCCTTCCATACTTCAGGAAACTTTGGCCGCACTTTGTTGCGAGAAACGAGAATCTGCATCTCTTCAAATGACGGATGGTTCCCAGCCTCTTTCTGAAATGGCAGCATGTATTCTGGGGTTGGGACTCCTGCAGAAAAACAGAGACTCAAGTTTTATAGCTGACTCAGTCCGAGTCAATTTTATTGCTGACTCCGTGAGCATAGATTCAGGGTGGCGAATTCAGAAATAAAACATGGACTCAAGTTTAATTTTTACTAGTACTAAAATTGTACCATCTATGTAATTAGGAGATAAGTATGAGGATACCACGGGATGATTTTCTTTACTTTGCCCATTAGTAAGATATCGACTTTTTCTCCGCTATATAGTTTCGGATTTCCAGAAATATTAATAATCTTTGCCAATGGCTATAAATATTCATGTTATATTGATTGGAAAAAAACTTTTGTCATGTAAACAAATAATACTTAGTTCACAGCAATTAATTGTCAGCCTGATACCTGAGCATCACAAAACCAAATCACTTGCAAATGTTTGTCGTGCAACATTTTCAGCCTTTATGACAGATTAATTGGTGAAGATTTCTGTCACTGAGTTATGACAGCATTTAAAAACAGAAAAAAAGTTCTGGAAAATATCTTCAACACATTAAAGCATAGTGGTGAATTCCTCATTAAGTCATGAATTTGTTAAAAACAAATCATATTCCATCGAACCAGTTGTTACATTCGTAAAGTATAATACTATAAAGAATATATATTGATTCCTTGAGCCAGACTGTGGATCTTGTTACCTACCAGCCCTCACCTGGCAGACAGAAAATATAATGGATGGATGTTAATACTTTGCAGCAAACCTTACACGCTGATATTTTGTGTTAGATTATGGAATTTATTGAAGAAAGAGTACAGGAAGTGTAAGACCAGGCTAACATGTACTTTGTAGACAGTGATGCACCAATGGAATGTCAAACCCTCAAGTCAAATCAGTTACACATCATGTGACAAGGTTTGAACGTAAATCATGGAGTTTGGCCAGCAGTCACAGTGGTCAGTGACCATAGAGTGTTGACAATTAGTGTAGACTGTCTGACCAAATGTTTAATACATGTGCAGATTGTGATCCAGAATAGTCAGCAACAGAAATAGTTCTCTCATTACATTCACCCGTAAATCTCTAAACCCGAAGAGTCATA